GTGGTGGTGGTGGTGGTGGTGGTGGTGGTGGTGGTGGTGAGGGTGAGAATGAGGCAGAGGAGCAGGTGAAGGTGACCGTGCTTGACCGCCACTAAGAGAGTGGTTTAGGACCGACGAAAGACGCACCTGCTTGACCTTGCCAAAAACAGTGTTGTTCAGGCCAAGATTTCCCGAATGAGAATTCGTGATGGTTTGAGCCAACTGTTTGAGTCTTTGATTCGATGAATTCGTCCCAATAGCCATCAGAACAGACGACTGAACAATAGTAGGAGCCTGCATTGTCGAACCTCGTTCGTTCGATAGGCTAACATATAAATTCTGCATCATACAAAATGCTGTCAGTGAAATCTATACAGCTAAAAACAATATCCATCAGAAGATAGTAAGGAAGACAGCCAAACCTCATAACGAGATAGACGTAATCCCGACCTCAGCTGGCTGGTAAGATCGTCGAAATTCACTTGAATTTGATAGATAGAATAATTCAACGTAAAATTGAAATAGATCTGTGCTGTCTGCAGAAGAAATGCACTCTGAGGAGGAATAATAGTTATCCCACCAGGAAATTTCAACACCTCGAACAACGAAGTATTGCCGAATAACGATGCGTTCAATCTGAGAGGAGGGTCGTTTATAACCAATGTTTCAAACGTTTCCTTGATTAAACTTTGAGAAGTTGGTGGAATTTTTGAATACTTGGCATCAGGATCTACGGAGAAAATGATATCTGTTACGTTCGATCCGCCTAATGATTGTAGCGAGAGGACGGCCACCTGATTCACAGAGTATCAGATCAAACGACCGAAAACGTGACTAGTCAAGCTAGATGAATCGAGAAACTGGATTGAATACCTTGACAAAAGGAACAGGAATTTCTCCAAAAATGTTGTCTTCAAGCTCAAAAATATGGTTTTTCAGAAAAGGAACTGGCTTCCGAGCACGAAAACACGCTACGATTTCATGATCTGGAAACGGGATAGAATCATATAACTTCAGCGAAACGATTATATAATATACGAAAGGGATGGCTAGCATGATATGATAGCGTTACAATAATTCAACCAAGACGAACTGATATCGATAAAATCCAATAAAACTTCACAATTTCTAACACAAAGTTCACCACAATCAAACAAATCTAGACACACCCAACAAGCAAATGGAGTACTCATTGAGTTTATAAGATATCACCCAACTTCTAAACCCATCTGATTACGACGCAATTAATTTCAGTTAAGTTATACGATCATATCGTTTATATGTATCGCTCTTTCAAATTCCAATGTACAAAAGTAGAGCGATCCGTTTAAAACCAGAGCACTATGAGCTTTTAGGCAGTACATTTCATGCATCAATGGGCGTAAACATGTCGAGTTTGTATACCGAGAGAGGAAAAAAACGAACAATCAAGCTCATAAAGCCTTCGGATAGCCAAAAGGGTTCTTCAATATAACACAAATCTATAAACATTATCAAAATGGAAAGTTCTAATGCATATGAACAGCAACTTGATGAACAGAATTCACATGAATCCAGGGAAACTAAATGGATACATGGAAAAGTGAGTCAGTTTTCATCATAAACTTCTCATTTAATCGATCAAATCTTCCAGAATCAATCAAGAGTGAGTTTCCTTACTCGCAATCCCATCGAATCCAACAAAACAAGACTATAATTCTTCCACGAGGAGCTATCTAAACACAAGAACAGCTACAAACATTCAAAAATCCATAACATTCTACTCTTCAAAACAATCAAAGTTGATATCACCAGCCAACAAAAAGGGGATGATAATTTGATATCACCAGCCAACACCCACCAACATGATTCTAGGTCTACAAACACTCAAAACCCAGGAAGCCTGAACAGGAAAATCATGAAAGAAAAAGAAAAAGAAAATTGACGAAGGATCCTACCTCTATAAGTAGAATCAGCCGCCTGATCCGGCCAATCTCCGTATGAAAGGAACGGCGGCAGCCAAAAAATAGCAGAAAGAAACACAGCCGCCGACAGTAACAGGAAGAAGACACATCTCACAGCAATCAGTCTACGAATCGCAAAGCACCCACCGCCGCCACATCTACTCTGCACAGTCCAATCAGAAAGCTCGGAGGAGCTCACTCCAACCGGCAGCGGCTGTTCTTCCTCGCTCTTTCCCATGGAGGCAATGCATGAGAAGTGGGTTAACAACCGCCATTGCCACCTCCCTCAATCGGGTCCAAATTATCTCCCCCCATTACACCTCAAACTCAAAGCAAATCGATCCCAGAACCACAAAAGCTCAAAATCCCACCTCGTGGAGCTTCTCCACCGCAAACCCAGAACCCAAATTCAAAAAGAAAATCTAGGGTTCGAGAGAGAGAGAGAGAGAGAGAGAGAGAAATTGGGGGCGATTCGGTCTGATTTAACTGGCGCAACAACTACAAATGACAGCCACAGTCTTCGAAGTAAATGTGGATATAGAGAGGGGGGTTTATTACTCATCCATCAACCATCCATCTATCCGTTTTCTTCACCAAAATTTATAAATCGAAAGGGAAAATGGAAGAAGATGACAAGACAGTAGAAGGGGAAAAGGTAAGAAATGGAGAAGAAGCGCCAAAAACAGAGAAATGGGGGAACAAGGAAATTGAAAAAGGGAATTGATGGCACTAATTGCGCACTTAAATGAAGAGCCGTGGAAGATGGGTTATGCCCATTTCATCACTTCCACTTCTGATCCTAATTCAAAATATAATAATAACAAAATCAGTGAGGGATTCATTTCAGTGTGTTCATCAAGAAACCGAGGCACATCAACCCTTCCACAATGATCATTGTTTTTTTCCATTACAATTTTTTTTATGGATAATTTTAATTTCTCTCTTTTATCCGTTTTATATTGCACACGTGTGATCTTCTCAGCAAAGTTATCTAATTTTTTATTTTTATTTTATATATTTGTTTTTATTGTTTCCTTATTTACTCGAATTTAGATAAAAGAATTGTGGTGTGGGAATTTTTAAAAAATATTATTTTTTATTTTTTATTTTTTAAACAAAATTTATATTTACCATTTAAAAAATTTTTGTTAGGGTTTTTCCGGTTCCATATTTGAAATCTAACTTTTTAAGGTCGGAAATATGGGTTAGTCAGTCATAATTTGGCCTTGTAAGTTCGGGAATATAGCACATTCCCAAAGATAATGTTTTTTTTACGTCTGTTAGACGAACACCACTCTCCACGATGGTATAATTTGTCTACTTTGAGTATAAGCTCTCAGGGCTTTGCTTTGGGCTATCCCAAAATACCGAACACCACTCTCCATAATTGTATGACTTATAAACTCATGAGCATTCCCTAAATTAACCGATGTGGGACCTTCATCATCCAACACCTCCCCTCAAACAAAGTACGTCTCTCCTTAACCGAGGCTCGACTCCTTTTTTTCTTTTGGAGTCTTAATCATTTTTTACTATGCTTTCGAGAAGGCTCGACTCCTTTTCTTTTGGAGTCCTTTTTGTTCGACATTTGAGGATTTACCAATTTATTGGCACGACTAAGTTTAGGGCATGACTCGGATACCATGTTAGACGAACACCACTCTCCACAATGGTATGATATTGTCCACTTTGAGCATAAGCTCTCGTGACTGTGCTTTGGACTTCCCCAAAACGTCTCGTACCAATGGAGAGAATATTCTTTGATTATAAACCCATGAGCATTCCCTAGATTAGCCGACGTAGGACTTTATCATCCAACATCGTGGTCACGAGACCACTCAAACTAATCCAAAATTAATTAGTATTATTTAAAAAATTATTATTTTAAAACCCAATTTAATTATTAAGAATTATGATTAGTAATATTAGTAAGAAATTAATTGAAGGGTTTTTTTTTTTTTTTTAATTATTTTTTCTTAGACTTTCAAGTCTGAAGTACGACGGGAGGAGGGTTTTGGGGTTTAAGAGCGACGTTACGGCCTCCGCCATTTCAATTCCTCTTGTTCTGGTTTCCATTGTTGGAGGGCTTCTCCGAGCTCTTCATCACTACTAATATCATCTCACGATGTGGGCTCTTCGTAGAGCTTCTACTCCCCTTAGGTATGCTTCTCTTTGTTCATCATGTTTACGGCTGTTCTCTGTTTTCCATATCGATTTCTCTGCTTATGTAGCGTACATAGCTCATTCCGTAATGCGAAACATAGAAAACTAATTTGAATCTCGTTTTTCCGGTAGAATTTTGGATTCATTTCATGCGTATTGGGTTGTATTGATTTTTATGCATCAACAAGGTTCTTGCTTGCTTCTGATCGAGTTTTCGGTGCTCACATTTGTTCTGTTCTTGTAGTTCCCTTTGCATTCTATTACAGTCTTGGTTGGGGTTTGTTTTCTAACCTCTTTCTTTAAAAATATTTTTCTGAACTTTTAAAATTTATGGGTTTGATATCCTGTTTTCATAATTTATGACGTTATGTGCATTTTTTGGACGTTTGAGTCTCAAAGATGATGGTTGGGATATCATTGATGGAGATTTTCTTTTGTCTCTTACGGATAAGTTTTGGAGATGGTCTGAGAGATGAAATTAGAATCAGTGAAGAACGTAGAAATCTATATAATATTGAGAAGAACAGAAGAAATCTATATAATTTGAACATTCTTCTTTTCCAATGTCCTAAACATGAAATTTTCTCCCGGCAGTTTATTGAAATCCATTATTATCAATCATCCAAAGAACTGTTTTTGGATAATGCCTCCAACTTTTCAGATCAGCCTCTGTACAATCTTTTTGTGTTCTCTTTCCAGGAATCAAGGGTATAGAGTAAGAACTTCATATGTCTTTGGAAATCTAGAGATACCATGTGATTGGGAAGGAAATATAGTTCGTTCTGGTACCACCGCTGCTATATCTGATAGATGCATTTATTTTGAGAGAAATAGCCTTGCAACACGGCAGTCCTCTGGACTTTATATTAGTAGTCATGGTCTATCTTCACAAGCTGGTGCTGACAACAGTGAAAAGGAAGATGACTTGGAAGATGGATTTTCTGAACTTGAAGATAACAAGACAGCTGATGAAAATGAAGAGGATCGAACCTCTGGATCGGAAATTGATGATGATGATGATGATGATGATGATGGGACTCAAGATGCTGAAAATATATCTACAAAAAGGGCTCCTTCAGAGCTGTTCAAGGCAATTTCGAGTGCTCCAGGTTTATCTGTTCCTAGTGCACTTGATAAGTGGGTCAGTGAAGGAAAAGAACTAAGCCGAGCTGACATCTCTCTGGCCATGCTCAATCTTCGTAGGCGTCGAATGTTTGGGAAGGCTTTACAGGTAAATTGACTTTATGTTACTTTTCAAGCAATGAAATTCATTCGTATGGTTTGAGGTTTATAATTAATCTCATTTATCTTGGGATTTACAGAACTCTATATAAGTTTATGTGATTAGTGGACACAACGGATTTCAAGATGCAAATGTTGATCAATTTTTAAAAAATTCAACAATCAACTATAATATGGTCTGACAAGCACATAATAATTTGAAGATGTGTTGGTTAGTTGATCAATATGAACTTAGGCTTGTAATCATTAAACCTGAGTATGCAGATCAATTCTTTAGAAGTACCATTATCAAATGCTTGTATAAAAATTGTCGAGCTGGCCTATAGCATCCAAGAAATGGTGCTAGGAACTGCAGTCTAGTATATTTGGATAGGCATTTATATATTGTGGCCTTATAAAACCATTTCTGGCATGAAAATGGTCATACAATTGTTTATGCTGAAGAATTTTCTAGCTATTGTATATATGGTAATTATTTCCCTTACTTGTTAGACATTCATTCATCCTTTCTTGAACTCTTTGCTGGCATTTATGCATGGGTTTCACAGTTTTCAGAGTGGTTGGAAGCAAAGGGACAACTCGATTTTATTGACAGAGATTATGCTTCTCGCCTCGACTTGATTGCAAAGGTACGGGGTCTCTATAAGGCAGAGAGTTACATCGCTCAAATTCCGAAGTCTTTCCAGGGAGAGGTGATATACCGAACTCTTTTGGCTAACTGTGTGATCGCCAACAATGTAAAAAAAGCGGAGGAAGTGTTTAACAAAATGAAGGACCTTGAATTCCCAATCACAACATTTGCTTGCAACCAGTTGCTTCTTCTTTACAAGAGGCTTGACAAGAGGAAAATAGCAGACGTTTTGTTGTTGATGGAGAAAGAAAATGTCAAGCCTTCTCTGTTCACTTACAAAATCTTAATAGATGCTAAAGGCGTTTCAAATGACATGATAGGGATGGAACAAGTTGTTGATACAATGAAGGCTGAAGGAATTGAACTTGATGTTACTGCGCTTTCCATATTAGCAAAGCACTATGCTTCATGTGGGCTTAAAGACAAAGCCAAGGCCATTTTGAAGGAGATGGAAGATGTTAACTCCAAAGATTCTCGATGGCATTGCAGAATTTCACTTCCCCTTTATGGAGAACTGCAAATGGAAGATGAAGTGAGGAGGCTCTGGAAGATCTGTGAGTCGAACCCTCGTTTCGAAGAATACATGGCTGCCATTGTTGCTTGGGGAAAGCTGAAGAACGTCACAGAAGCTGAGGAAATTTTTCATATGGTTTTAAAAACATGGAAGAAGCTTTCCTCAAAACAATATTCTACCATGTTGAAGGTTTATACAGACAATAAGATGCTGACAAAGGGCAAGGAACTAGTCAAGCAGATGGCAGACAGCGGTTGCCGTGTCGACCCGTTGACATGGGATGCAGTTGTGAAGCTCTATGTGGAAGCTGGGGAGGTAGAAAAGGCAGACTCATTTTTGCAGAAGGCTGTTCAGAAAAACCAGATCAAGCCACTGTTTACCTCGTACATGATCATCATGGATCAGTATGCAAGTCGAGGCGATGTCCACAATGCAGAGAAAATCTTTCATAGGATGAGACTATTGGGTTACGTGGCTCGATTTAGCCAATTTCAAGCTTTAATACGTGCATATGTTAATGCCAAGGCTCCAGCATATGGTATGAAGGAGAGAATGAAGGCAGATAATGTATTTCCAAACAAAGATTTGGCAGGAAAATTAGCCCAAATTGATGCGTTCAGGAGGACAGCAGTGTCAGATTTGCTTGACTGAGGTATTTAACCTGATACTTTTGCAAGTTATAAACTCTCCAGATTTCAACTTTATTTTATAAATCAAGTATTTGTTTGCTAATCTGGCGGCTGCGCTTTGATATATGTAGGTATACTGACAGGACAACAAAGAAATTTTGATATTGGATCATGCTGCACGTGTTCATATATTTCGATCATCCAAAGAACTCTGATTATGCAGAAACTCAAATGGTATACTATTTTACATCTCCCCCACGTTCGGTATGCAATCTGAGTTCTGTTTCATTTTTCGTAATCGAATCATTTTTCGCAATTGAATGGATTCGATAAATATCTGTTGAACTGTTTTTGGAATGGGGCATCTAAATAGTGGATATTTTAGAAATGATATTTTTATCTTTTCAGTATATTCCAGTTTTGAATTTTAAATTAAAAAGTTATTTAATGTAGTAAACTTGTTTTACTTTAGAATGGGGCTTCCGGGACGTTCTTCAGCTTTCCTTGAATATCATATATAAATTAAAGTTGGGAGGATTTTGAAATAACTACGCAGAGAATGCTGTCTTGTTAATGAAATGAAGAAATAGATCATGACATGCTTACTATTCTATGTCTTGGGAAGAAAATAATGAATGAAAAAAAGCATGTATCCTTCCAACTTAGACGTTTTAGATCAATAAAACATACAAAAAGGCACTGAAATTTCATATGAATATGATCTACTGGTGTAGTAAGCTGATGTAATATAAATCTAAATTACAGATACAAGCTATTTTGCCTTTGAGTTCTATGCAGCATCACCTAACTACATGAAGAGATTATTGTAATAAGCATACAGCACCACCAACTGATACTAACATCTGCAAATGTGAAAGCTATATATATCAATCACAAACTTCACCTAATACCATTACCCATCTTGATCCATTGTACAGTTCCTATGACAGAAGCAACTCCATCCAATGAAGAAATGCAATTGGCGCGGTAGCACTCGAGGCACTTGTTCATAAATTTGATTTCAGTTCAGATTAAGTAGAGAGAACTTCCTTGCTCCTCACTCTCGAGGCCGTGCAAGCCAGAGAGAGCTGAGGGCTCTAAGCCGGGAGAAGTAGTCGTTTATTGCAAGAAGCGCACGAGCTGATTGACGGGTTGTCAATATGCGATGCATTTGTTGAAGAGTTTGTTGACGAAGATTATCAGCCTGCAGAGGAAGAAAATGGAAAGTGAGCATGGATTACTTTTTCAACTTGTGCTGCCGATTTGAGGAAACGTAAGATGAAAGAAATAGGCAATGTAAATGAAACAAGATGCAGCTGAAATGTTATGAATTAAAAGTAATTCCTTTGACGAGTTGAAACCTGAGATTTTTATTGTATTTGAAATAATTTCTTCCATTTGCAAGTGATCTCCAGTAATGAATTACAGGTTTTTCGAATAGAGTGGCATACCTGGCGTAGGAAGCCTTCAAGAGTTCCAAGCTTTCCCATAGCCATGGCCATTTGACCCATATAATTTGCGACGTTCCCAGACGATCCCGACGTTGCAGGTGTGCCACTGGCCAATGTTTCAGCCAAGGATTGCTGCAATGCATCCATTCCTTGCGAGAGAGCATCTTCTGCTTGTTGTGATAATTGTTGCAGGTTACATATGCCCATTAGCTGCTGCTCAGTCAAAGGCTCTAATTGGTTTATAAGAAGCTGCATTAACATAGATGCAGTTTTAGGTGAGGATGCTATAAAAGAAACCATGCCTACATAATTAGGTGGATAGTTAAATTGACAGCAATTTAAGATACGGTCGCACTCGCACCCTTTAAAGATTCATCCGAACTGAAAGAAAACACGAACCCTATAGGTATTAGAAAGATTAATGGTGAGTAGTGATAACACATTACATAGAAGGACAGCATTCTTTAACTACAGGAATGATGTGCATCAACATGATATTGTGCCAAGATACTATCAAGCCCTATTCATTGAAAACTAGAATGATAATGAAAACTAGAATGAAATGGTATCAGAGTTGGACCCCAGACGATGTGCCAACAAGGACGTTGGGCCCCCAAGAGGGGTGAATTGTGAGATCCCACATTGGTTGGAGAGGAGAACAAAACATTTATAAGGATATGGAAACCTCTCAAACAGCATTTTAAAACCTTAAGAAGCCCAAAAAAGACAATATTCGCTACCGTGGCCGTGGGCTGGGCTGTTACACTAAACTTCATAGATTTGAGGACTAACATCATTGCCAACCCAATCTAAAGACAAAAATTGATTGGGCCTACAGTAAGAGGTATCACCATACGAGGACTGAGTGGAGCTCAAAGGTGAAAAAGTAGCCGACAAAAAAAGGTGAGGTGGGAGGCGGGTGAGTGAAGTTACGAGAAAGGTAACTGCAACGATGCTACCAAAGATGTAACAACCCCCTATTGAGAATGCTAATACCTTACTAACCACAACAAGGATACTAGTATTTATTTAACTAGAATTATCACAAAAGATGAACGGGGTAAATTGCAAACGATGATTAAACACGGTGGCTGGTGGGACATGCTGAATCAGTTTTGGGCTCGAGGTTCTTAAAGGCCGAACCAATCAACTGAAGCGTGGAATATAGAGTTGGGGAACAATTAACTTTTTGTTCTTATACTCTTAGACTTACATAGCACCATACAAACATTTTCTTCTCTATTTTCACATGCAAATATACAGAGAATTTCGTACCTTCAGGATCTCTGATGAACGGAAGCCACCAATCCACAGGAAACACCGCTCTGCTGGTGTCTTCCACATTCCTGACAAGATGTGGAACACATCAGCTTTGGCTGCAATGCCTTTCAACCTGAAAATATCGTCGAACTGTGTAGTCACGTTATCAACGACAGTTCGAAGTTCAGTGTCGCCCGCATGTGAATTAACTGCAGCTCTAAGCTCATTTATCAGCCTGTTATGCTCCTCTAACCAACGTGAATATTCTGCATCAAATGCTAGGGCCCCTACAAACCCAACAAAAAAAAAAAAAAAAAAAAAAAAAAAAAA